CATGGCATGTTCTTGAATATCAATGAGTGTCGAGCCAGTTTCTTCGCAAGTTGCCACTTCACACACCAATTCCATCAACACGGTCGACAAAGTCCTTCAACACCAAGAACAGTAATATATTGGCTATTTTGCTTAATATGACAACGAATCAATCTCTATCTGAGAAATATTCTACCTCTCGTCTCAGCTTGGCCTTTGGCCTTTGACGGCGTCCTCAAGCAACTAGTCTATGGCACGCACCAACCAGCATCCTCTCTATCCTGTCGAACCTACATCCATCCTTCGCTCCGCGTCGGCGACCGCTTCCAACATAATCGCCTCTAACCGGGCGCCACCTCTCTCACCAGCATCATCTTCAGGCATGCTGTTTGAACGCAACGACGGTGTTGAACCGTGCGCCCCGGTGCCGGTGCTGAAGCCCCTACCCCCTCTTCCTATCTCTGCTCGCCGCGACTGCTCGATAGAGGGCTGGCTGGACACTACTCTTTAGAGCCGCCAGGACCCTGCGTACAAGTGCTGCCCTGATGCGGCCGCCACGGTCAGACGCGCCTTCGCCATAACGAACCGCTCCGTTACCACTCTCGTCTCTGATGGTGCAGAAGGCAGCACATACCTAAGTAGGACCGTACCATACGAGGCCCTTTGCAAGTGCTGGTGCTGCCGCGGCGACCCGGCGCTGCGGAAAAAACGCGCCGCCCGTGCCTGAGGGCCGACCGGCGGCGGTGGCCGCACGGGCATCTGTCACCGCGTAGCCGCCAAGGACGAGCACAACGACCTCTTCGGCTACACCGTCATCCGAAGCGCGCACCTGGGCCGTGCCGCCAGTGTTGCTGGCCCGCACGGCGGCCTCATTGGTTCCGCACGCTGTTTGTTCTTTGACGACCGCGGAGCCCTAGCTCTGTACCCGGGTGGCAGCCCAACGCGCGCAAGGGGACGGCTTGACGATGCCGCTGCTTTCATTGTCGAACCCCGCCCCTGTCTGTTTGGCCCCCGGCACTGCCGCCGTTCCCACGGCCAGCAAACGGGCAGTCGTTGGTGGAGCCGGGGGGGCTGTCTTCCGCGGCAGAGTTCGGCGAGCTCTTCTCCTCTTGGCCTTCGTCTGTACCAACGCTACTTTCATTAGAAGAGGCGAAAGCACACGACCAGCTCCCACGCGTGACTGCCAACAGCGACGTAGCGCCCGTCGTCAGATTACGCGAGGCGGTCGAAGGAAGACCAGCCTGGCGGCAGCGAGGCCAAAACTTTCACCCCAACGCCACCGCTCCCGCTGCTGCGCCTACCTGTGGTGCGGCCACTGTTTCTGCGCTGTCTTCGGCTTGTTCGGCTTCGGCGGTGGCATTTAGTCTAAAAATGACCGAACTCCGTGCCAACCTCCAGCTGGGCAAACTGGCTCTCAGCGCCAGCGAGAGGAACGTGGTCACTTCTGGGCTGGAGAGCTCCCCAGCGGCTGTTTGCGGCCTACGCCACTTATTTATCGGGTGAGACTGTTTTGGTGATGTATTAACTTCACGGGAGGTAGACGACCGTCCTTCACACGGACGAAAGAGGGAGTGCTCAAAGAGCGGCTCCCACAGCAAGGAGGGGCCCCGTGAATCATCGCGGTGCCCCCTATCAAACGGTTATCTTACCAGTCTGCGTGACACAAAATCATCCAGCACATGTATCCAACAGCAATGTTCGCAGACTCACG